CTGAGTTTGAACCCACACTAAATCCATGTATCCATTGCAATTGTCTAGCCTTTTCCAATATTTTGTGTAGTCCTTCCATAGCCAAGATGATAGAGAAAGAGGCTCTCCTTGTCTAATTCATTTCTGTGAAGAGAAAACCCCAATTGGTCCTTTGTTTATCAAGATTGAGTATTTGACTACGGAGATACAATATCAGATCCATTTAAGCCATTTGGTGCCAAAGACCATTTTCTTCATAATAGAGAATCGATTTAACTTGTCAAAAACCTTTTCTTAATCAAGCTTGCATATGAATCCAGGGACTCCTGATTTAATCCTTCAATCCATGACCTCATTAGCAATTAAGGATGCATCAGTTATTGTCTTCCCTTGATAAATGCATTTGGTAACTAGAAACCAGTTTCCCAGGTACCTTCTTCAACCTTTTTGCTAAAAGTTTGGCCACTATTTTATTGACATTGCCAACAAGACTTTAGGTCTAAAGTCTCTCCTTTCCATAGCCCCATTCTTCTCAGGAATCAATGAGGTGAAAGTGGCATTAATTGATCTCACCATATAGCAGTGTCAATGGAAGTGATTGATTGCCCCCAAAATATTAGTTTTATGAACTCCCATGACTTCGAGAAGAAATCCATTATGGTGGGAAGAGATCTATCGACATGTGGGGGAAGGATCCAAAGAGATATTTTGGGAGGAATTAGGGGTAGGTTTGTGGAGAAGGGATATTACTTGGGTGTTAGGTGAGATTTTAATACTATAAGATCTTGGAGGAGAGAATGGGTTGTAGAGTGATTTTGTAGTGCCATGGAATAGTTTTTGACATTTATTGTCGTTCTTTACACGCTTGCCTACCTGTATATACACTTGATCTCTAATTTGCAAGTCAGTCAATCTACATGATAACCTTATAACAAATTCAATTGTTTTTCGAGTAAACAAAAGCGTGTACGTTTTTGCCGAAAACCTAAATAATAAAGTGAAGCGTGATTATGAAAATGTATACTAAGAATTATTTTCTTTCTCTTCAAATCCCAAAAAGAATTAAGAAAAAAAATATGTAACATTAATTCACCTTCTTAGGCTAGCCCGCTTCCCATTACTCAATAGGGCAATTCCTCGCACATAATTAAGGGAGAGAAATAAAGAGAAATTTTAATAAAAAAATTTCTATATAAGAAGAAAATGAAATTCTATTCATTTGTCAAAAGAATGTGGAAAAGACGGTACTTTTAACTATTCTCATAATAAGCAAAAAAAAAAGTTAAATCTTACAGTTGCATGCTCTCAATAAAGATTACTGTTTGACCGTCGGGTACTTGTCAATGTATGGGGGTTATTATCGTCATTTTTCTCATATCTGAATCTCACTCATCATCACAGCTAAAGAATCATCCCACATTTTTCACCCATTTGTTTACACACTATAAAGTGAACCAACTATCCAACCTTTGTATGTTATTCGCTATAATTTACCTATGTTCTAAAGGCATGTCCTAAATCTCTCTTTTCCATTCTTTAAGGTTGTTTTCGATTTAATTTCTTATTCGAGTTGGATCTTGATTCAGTGTACACCTTGTGGAACTTTTTCCCCCTTTTTTGGCACTTACTGGAATTTAATTGCAGAAACAATTGAGTTTTGCCCATACAGGTTTGAATTTATGCTTATCTGAGTTTTGTTTCTTGGTTTTCAGCATTTCAATTATTAGTGTGGTATGATCAAAAGCAGATTTTTTGTTCTTAAAATTTAAATCTTTGTCGAGATTGGTTTTAATTTACTTGTAATTTATCATTTTAACCTGTGTATGTTTAATGCAACTGGTGCTTCGGTTATTCTGTCTTTTATTTTTACAAAAAGAAAATTGGGTTTCGGGTCATCGAGCCTGTAAACTCTAGATACATGATTAGTAGTTTGAGAGATTGATGGGAAATTTTTTATTATTATTTTCACGAATTAAAAAGTTCATCCAAAAGATGCAAAAAAGTAGTACATTTGAGCTTACAAATTTATGAAAAGAAAGTTAGGAGAACAGCCTAACAAAATCTCAGAATTAAATTTCCTCACTTTATTTGGAAAGCAATTGGAAAATGTAAGGATATTGGGTTGGAAGGGTATACTGTATTAGGTGGGATATTCATGATCTTAACTTTAATGAGAAATCACAGACATCACTGAAAAAGTTGAGTAAGAGATGGCTTTAGTAGACATGACCTCCCTCCTCTGGCCGCACACACACACACACATAGGGTCAGTGTTGGATTCCAGATCATCAAAGGTGTATCCTGGATTGTAAGAGGATGGGTGCACTTTACTATCCTTTGGTTTGATTCCATAAAATTTTATGATAAGCAAACTATTATAAAATAATATCATTAAATTTACAACTGTTGTGTGTGTGTAAATTAATCATAACCAACCACCAAGATCTTGTCCTCCACGGCCGTGTAATAGAAATAGCTAGTTTCGGGTGAACACCATAAATGGCACGATAAGTATGAAAGGTAGTGGGTGGCTATCATACCCTTTGTATAACTCAAGGAGAATAACACCCGAAAAGTTAGCTATTAAAGTGGGAGAGCCCAAGGTTATATAATCCCCACATCAACACATTTCTGTACCGATTTGGGTCTCAAGTCCCATGCATATTTTGTGCTTTTAGGGGTTAAATTTTAGTCTAAAATTACTTGTGTTTTTCAGCTTTTGTTGGAAGAGGATTGACGATCCATTAGTTTGACTGTCTAGTTTAGCTTTCAATTTAGAATCTAGTCATATACAGATCCCGCTACTAACTATCATTGGATCTGTCGTTGAAGAGTTGTTATCAACACTCTATTTTTCTCAATTTATATGACACTTCATTTCAGGACATTACAAAATATTTGATGTCATTTCTCTAATTAATTCCTTACTATTATGATAAACTAGTATCACATTGATCATTAATTTACAACAATACTTCTTTATTCAGGTCAGAGCTCATCAAAGTGAGTTCACATAGATCATTCATATGTCTAGGCTCTGTTTCCACATCAATGGTGTGATAGTTTGATAGACGAAGATGCAACACTTAAGTTAAAGCCCTATAGTTGAAATGGAGTGGTAACCAATAAGGAAATACACACTAGAGTGAAGGATAGGTTTTTTAAGACAGTTGTGAGACCAATGATGGTGTATGTGTGGATGTTGTGTATCTGAGGTCCGACATTATAAAAAATGGATGTTGTAAAAATTTGAATGGTATGATGGTGTGTGTTCATACAAAACAAGACAAAATAAGTGATGATTATGCCAAGTTACAAAAATCACATGTAGAAGATAAAAGAAAAGAAGGCCCTGAATTATAGTTTGGAAATGTCTACATTAGAAGTTCAAATGCACCAGTGTGACTCTATGATGGTTGGACGTTTTAAAATGGATGAGGTAAACAATTCAGTCTCATGGACAAAGTTGTCTCAAAGAACTTACAAGTTCTTGAGATTCTTGTTGAATTAGCCTAAAAAAACAAAATATAAATGAAGCACCAGATCCATACTAATTCCAATGGTTAGGATTAAGGTTTATTTAATGTTGCTACACTTATATTAGGTATTTTGTTTTCCATGAGTCCTTTTAGTTCATAACTGATTTGTATTTCGGTAGAGAACATAGAAAAAACTTTTGTAATAGAGAATCCTTAGTAATTATCTTAAAAGATTGGAATGAAATTGCTCCAAATGGAATTAGAACCCGGGTAGAGTGGAATGGTTGCAAACAAACTACACATTTGAGATTAAGGCATAGTTATTGTTGTATGAACCGCACAAGTTTAAGGAATTCATTCAACGAATGGTAGTCAAATTTTGACATGGTGTTTTTTTCCTTTCACCTAACTTTTTAACTACTACTACTCTTTGCTAAAATACCCCAATGAAATTAGCTAATTTATTTTTATTCCCATTGATGTAAAATAGAAGGAGTAGAGTATTAAGTTTTCGCATTCCCTTCTATTTGCTTCCTGGAAACTATATGCATCTTTGTCAGCAGACACTTTTCCCATTCCCAGTACTCTTTGTCCTTGTCTTGTTCTTCAAAATATATAACAAGTCTTCATCTTTCCGTCCTTCTTCTCAGGACATTGAATGTTCTTCTTCAGGGAATTTTATGTGCAAATCACTGTTACTTCGTCCTTTTTTTTTGTATAATTTTGCTTTCAGATAATGATTATTTTTATCCTAAATGTGATGCTTCCAACAGCTATGGCTACAAGAACTTACTTCTCTATTGTTATCTACAACCAACTTAAGTTCCATTTAATACTTTCCTAGTTTCTTAACTTTTGGGCACCCCAGTACTCCTCAAACGTATTTGTACATTCGTCTATGTTTATTTGTATTGCAGGGCTTAACTTTTTATTCTTCATAATCGGAGTATATTCACAAGAATACAAAATGGCGATCAACAACATTAATTTGACGTCAGGAATTCAAAATATTCTTCATGGATATAGAGAAGTAATAACATTTCTTATTTCTACAGGCGTTAAGGAGATGGGGTTTTTGTGATGGAGGAAGGAGATTCTCCTGTAAGGATCTGGGAGGACCTCGATAATGATATCTTGGTGAAGATACTCCAATCTTTCGACGTTTTTGAATTGTCTGCTGGACTTGCTCATGTTTGTAATGCGTGGCGATTGGCTTGTTGTGATCAACTTCCCTTGAAGACGCTAGACTTGTCGGTACTAAAATCAAACTTTATAAAAAATATATTCACTTCTTTGTTGAGTAATTTTACACTTTATTTGAAAATCAGTGTTCGGCTATGAAAATTTTAAATCCAACTTGAAGTTATATATCAAATTTGAAACAACTTATAACTTGTTTTCCAACTCATTTTTCACTTTTAAAGTTGTATCTCAAATTTGAGAAGTACATTCAAGCATGAGTATATGGCCAAACGCCTAGTTATTTTGGAGAAGCAAAAATTACTGTGAAAATGAATAAGACAACTAAATTAGATTTCCTCTTTTTTCAGATGTCCACACCTTAAACGCCTTGTTATGCTTTCTTGGAACAAAATAAAAAAGCGAACGATATGCAGGGCTATTCATATTTCGAAAGATCTTGAATCACTAACAATGCCTAATATTGCACATGTCATCGAGGAAATTGACAGGAGTTGCCAATAATTTTCTGAGCTCAAGATTATAGGGCCCTGTGATATGTTGTTTGCATTTACACTGGTATCATTTCTTCCAAACTTGAAAGTGTTGAGTGTGAGGTGCATAGTGATATCTAAACTTGCTTTGGTTATTATCTTAGAGGGGTTAAAAAAGTTGAAAGTGTTCAACATATCTCATTGCGTAATTACTGATGGAGTTTCAAAATAAAAAGAAGATGAAGCTGTTGTGATGGAAAAAGGAGATTCTCCTGTAAGGAGATGGGAGGACCTTGATATTAATATCTTGGTGAAGATACTCCAGTCCTTTGACCTTTTTCAGTTTATATCTATAATTCCTCAAGTTTGTCGTGCATGATAATTGGCTTGTTTTGATCAACTTCTCTGGAAAATGCTGGACTTATCAGTATTGCAATCAAATTTCATCAGAATCTCAAGGAAGCCTTACGTATATGTCGACAGTCCGTCTCAAAAAAAATTGACCCGACTCCTAAATATTTGCTTGAACCTCAGTCATGGTAACATACAAACGTTGATCTTCCATCATAATTTGTATGTTAACGACAATCAGTTGACTTTTACTGCCAAGAGGTATTCCCCAAATAAACTTTCATCTATATATAGTATTATAATTATAACTAAAATCAAGAAACTGTACAGCAAGCATCGTTTCAGAGATATCAGATGCCCTATGATTTTCCATTATTCTTATAGAAGCAAAAATTACTGTAAAAATGAATAAGACAACTAATTAGATCTCCTCTTTTTCAGGTATCCACGGCTTAAACGTCTTGTTATGCCTTTTTGGAACAAAATAAAAAAGTGAACAGTATGCAGGGCTATTCATACATGGGAAGATCTTGAATCACTATCAAGGCCTAGTAAAAAATCCTGCATATGTCATTGAGGAAATTGCCAGGAGTTGCAAAAAAAATTCTGAGATTAAGATAATAGGGCCCAGTGATATGTTATTTTATCTGCAGTGGTATCATTTCTTCCAAACTTGAAACTGTTGAGCTTGAGGTGCACGGTGTTATCTAAACCTTTTTTTTATTATCTTGGAGGGGTTAAAAAAGTTGAAAGTGCTCAACATATCTCATTACATAATTACTGAAGACCCTCCAATCTCACCGATGAAAATTCTGACCAAGCTTGATGAATCAATTCTTGAAAAAACGTCTAGGTTAGACAAATTCCTAACCCTTATAAGTGACTTATGCATCATGTGTCATCGCACTGTAAGGGGTCGTTTGGTACGAAGATTAATAACGCAGGGATTAGTAATACATGGATTAGTAGTGCAGGGATTAGAAGTGCATGGATTAGTAATGCAAGGATTATTTTTATCAAGTGTTTGGTTCATTGTTTCCCACCTCATCTTGTGTTTGGATTAAAACTCAATAAAAAACTTTTTTCCAATTATACCCTTGAATTATTATGTAATTGAGTCAAGATAGATTACTACCAGATAATATTATTATTTTTATGGCCTTCTAACTAGCTATGAGAAGAAAAATTTTGTTGTCATGTTTGCTATTTTTTCACTTGAATTATTTGAGGATAAATAATTGACCTCTTAATAAATTGATTACTCACATAATGTAATTTTTCAATTTAAAAAAGATAAATAGTCTACTTTTAAAATTGAAAAGACGGTCAAAATGGTAAAATTAAATAAACCATCTAAATTTACACATAAAAATTGCAAGTTGTAGTTTTAATATGTATGTGATTTTTTAAATTGTTCAAAATAAAATAATTAGAAAACCACACAAATGTGTGTATATTTATATATATATACATACATATATACACACATTCAATTAAGATCACAAACGTTATATACAAATAAACAACTCACATTTCAAATTTGTATTAGATTTATTTAGTAATAAACAACTCTCCCTAAATAATTTGTAAGCTAATTTATTTAAATAAATTTACTAGCACTAATATAAATCATAAAATCAAGAAAATAAACAAAATAATTAAAATGATTTGAGGGATATTTTTGTCTTTACATAGACTTATCCCATGGTATTATATCCTATGTATTACTAATACCTCCAAATGGAAGGTATTAGTAATAATTCCTATAATACCATGTAGGAGGTTTAACTAATCCATGGATTAGTTATACATAGATTCCTACCAAACATAGTACTAAATAATACCTTACATAATACATGGACTATTTCTTCTAATGCCGCCTACCAAACGACCCCTAAATGATGAAGGGCTGATGAGGTGGTATGAGAATGAATAAGACCTCTAAAAAGTGGATGAGGTGAGATCTCTTGCAATTTGACAACCTTAAGAATGTACTGCTTCATGAGTTAAAGATCCAGTAAAATGTGTAAACTTGTGTATATGAAACATATGTATAAGTGTGAAGAAGACCTCTGGAAAGTGGATGAGGTGAGATCTCTTGCAATTTGACAACCTTAAGAATGTACTGCTTCATGAGTTAAAGATCCAGTAAAATGTGTAAACTTGTGTATATGAAACATATGTATAAGTGTGAAGAAGACCTCTGGAAAGTGGATGAGGTGAGATCTCTTGCAATTTGACAAATTTAAGAATGTATTGCTTTATGAGTTAAAAGGTTCAGTACAGTGTGTAAAGTTGTGTATATGAAACATACTCTCTACATTCAATTTATTTGGCCTATTTTTTTTAGTTCTCTTAAAAAAGAATGACTCTTTCCTTTTTTAGCAACTATTTAATTTGAACGTTCCACCTGACATGTTGAAGACCTCAATATTAAAGTGCATCTAAAATCTTAATACATTTGACATATCTTTAATTTAAGACAACTAGATTCAAAAATTTTGCTTACTTTCTTGCACTCCTACTTTTGTTTAGTAATTTTGTAAGTCTTAAGTCTATTCTCTTTAACAGATTTGTATCCATTTACTTACATATGTATTGCTGAGCATTGTAAGCTCGCTCATCTAGCACTATTTGGTAAGTTTCATATCTAAATTATTAGGTATTTACAGAACACCCCTTAATTAGCATAAATTCGTAATAAAATATTCCTTAGAGGAAAATGACATGCTAGGTGCAGATCACTGTTCAAAAGCTTCTCCAAAGAGTATCAAGTGGCAATACACATGAAGTTTTTTCTGAGTTAATAGTTTAGAACTCTTTCAAACTACCATTGTTTTGTGAGTTTCATACATAATTACATAAATTATTAGATATTTATAGAATTCTGTGAACCACCATGATCTTGTTGTGTTAGGTGAATTCATTGTTAAGACTTTTTTCATTTTCCACATGTCTCTCAACAAGGTATTTCAAATATTTTCACATATTCAATGAAGGATTTTTCAATCTAAGTATGAAAATTGCAAAATGGTACTAGTTTAGAATATTTATTTTTAACATATTCAATCTATTCATGGCAACATACTATCTAAATTCACTAATGGTGCAATCCCTCTACAAAAATTCAGACGACATATTCAACTTATTTTATCTTATCTTTTTTAAGGTATCGTAAAAAATAAGTTCAGAAAGCTTCATATGTAAAACCTTAATTAATTGACATATTAAAGTACCAAGTTACACTAATTAATGCGAAAAATTATTTATTCTAATTTTATTTGAAAATTAGTATTTAGCACTGTTACAATTTCATATTCAAGTTATATTTGGAATTTGAAAAACATCTCAAAACTTGTTTTCACTTTTTTCCGTCTCGCTTTTTGATTGTTGCATTTATCTATTTATATTCAAATTTTGCCCTAATTTTTTTTCAATAGAAAAGGACCTCATTATCTCCTTATCAATTAGTTTTGTTCACGGACTAATCATAGAGCAAGAGTTTTAAGCGTGATAAGTGATCACTTTTCAAGGAATTCAAAAAGAAAGTGCAGAATTTATATATTGTTGGGTGTTAACTCAACATGCTTAAATTGATTTTCACTTTAATCATGTCAAGTGTTATATTATTAAGTAAATTGTTCTTGTTATATGTAGCCATCAAAAGAACTCATTACATATTAGATGTATACATGAAATTGGAACTACATGTAACTTATTCGGAATGGATAGTAATAATGTATTATAACCTGAGAAAAGCTTGTAATTTAATCTTGACATTTGAATTAGTGGAATATTTTTTATTTATTGTACTATATTGTAATAAACAATTAACTAAATAAAAATATTCTCTCTTTGATATTTAAGTTTATGATATAATGTGACTATTCATTGCGAGATATTACTCTTTCAGAGCATATTCAGTTGTATGTTTTAAGTAAAGTAATCAAGGTTGGTGTTTTTGCTAGTTTTCAAAAAATTAGAGGTGTAACTCATATTTCATTCTTAAAAGAAAAGAAAAGTATATTCAAATAATCAAATATTCTTTGCGAGATGTATATTTAAATGCAACTCTAACTTACAAAATTTTCAAAACAGAAAAGACTCAAATATGTCATCGAACTTTGAGAAAAAGGCTAATTTATGCCATTTGTTTAAAGTTTGGCTCATCTATGTCATTTCTGTTTAAGAAAAAGTTCATCAATGTCATTATTTGTTAATTGAAATGACATAGATGACCCAAACTTTAAATAGATGGCATAGATGAGTTATTTCTCAAAGCTCGATGACATATTTGAGTTTTTTCCTTTTTAAAAAATAATTTAATTAATGACGTGACCGAATCATAATTGACCACGTGTAAAAAATAATTTTTATAAAAATCAAAACTTTTTTAGTTAACAAATAATGGAATGGATGAGTCTTTTCTCAAACGAAAATGATAGATGAACTAAGCTTTAAACAAATGGCATAAATTAGCCTTTTTCTAAAATTTCGATGACATATTTGAGTTTTTTCCTTTTTAAAAAATAATTTAATTAATGACGTGACCGAATCATAATTGACCACGTGTAAAAATAATTTTATAAAATCAAAACTTTTTTAGTTAACAAATAATGGAATGGATGAGTCTTTTCTCAAACGAAAATGATAGATGAACTAAGCTTTAAACAAATGGCATAAATGAGTCGTTTCTCAAAGTTTACTTGGTTTAAACTTTGATATTTTGTTGTTAAAAAAAGTAGAGGGAAGGCGGAGAATGGGCAATTCTGGTCAAATTAACCACATTATTGGTTGAAAAAAAAAGGTACTATCTCCATCTCATATTAATAATCACTTTTTATTTTGCAGGATACTTAAGAAATCATAAATAGAATTTTACTAATTTATTCTTTAAAATAACTTGTTGAGAATTTTACAAACAAATGTGACCATTTTCAAAATATTTTACTAATTTATCCCTTAATATTTTCTTGATTTAATAAGATGAACAATTAATATAGAATAACTATTGTTAGTATAATGATCAACTGTATAATGATCAACTAATATTGAACGGAGGGAGTAACAAGAGGGTGTCTAGCCAATCGCAGAAGTAACAAAGAATTAGTTGTATGTCTCTCTTTTGTTTTCTCATTTAGTTTCAAAACCATGTGTCTAGCATTCATGCAAGGTGAATATGACATAGCTCTCTCCTTGATGTTGCATCACTACAGCATTTTGCTTATGACACCAATAGCCATTTCCGCAGCCCTCTTCCTTCACCCATACATATCATGCTTATTCCTTAATTCCCTCTTTGAAGAGTCACCTAATTTTGTCCCCTCTAGAACCGTCTCACCGCCAGAGACGGAGTAGGAGTCTGGGGTTCTGAATTTTAGGATAGAAAAGCTAGAAAAATATTGCAGAGTATGCTTCCTTTTAGAAAAAAGAGAAACTTATGTTGAAAGTGGGGCTTAAACTCACAACACTAGTGAAAAAGGCATTTCCACATTTCCTTACCAGTTAGTCGTTAATCAATTTTGTTAGGAATTCACAAGTTAATATACATATATTTATTTATTTAATTTTCTAATACAAATGTAGGATCTATAGAAAAGCTAT